AGAATCATTTTTATACGTATACTTTTTATACTTATTGCAACCATGGTTGATATTTTTGTTGAAAATATTTGACACAAAAATTATAGATACAGTGTGACCCATTTGTTTGCGACTCACCCCTGTAAAATCTTTATTTATTGTGCGATTTTAACCGGATTTGTTTTAAAGTGTAGATCTTGATAAACTGTATTTTTGGAACAAAATTTGTACAAAATACAAGGCCTACTATGTCAGTTTTTGAAAGAAAATGGTAACATGGTACTCTTACTATTTAGTAACTTATATAAGTTTTATTTTATTTCAATGTTTTTTTCATGGATAACCTGACAGAATAAATTTTTGTGGTTATTATTGTGCATTTTTCTACATAAAATTTTTCAATAAAATTTAGTAAAGGGTCATTTTGAGGGGTAGTGAATCCAGTGCCGTGCTTAGATTTTGTTTAAAAAATCGCTAATATGAATTCTTAAAAATTTACTCTAAAAAGTGACACAGTAGGCCTTGTATTTTGTACTAATATGGCGTCTTTTGCTCCAAAAGTACAGTTTATCAAGATCAACACTTTAAGACAAATCAGGTTAAAATCGCACAATAAATAAAGATTTTACAGGGGTGAGTCGCAAACAAATGGGTCACACTGTATATATATTGATTTTAAACAACAAAAAACTATTTAAAATCAAAGGCGATTTTATAAATAAAAGTAGACTAAACAAGTTTGAAGAAATTTAGTTAAAAAAACTTAAAAATTAGCGAATAAATAGGTACCTACCTACTTTTATTTTAGTCAAAAAATTTAAAAATAATAAAGTGGTACTTGCCAAATTTATTGATGAGTTCTGGTTAAATCCCATTATCCTTATATATATGGTTGTCTTATTTCTTAATATCCATTGGCTTAATAGCTATGGCTTTAACATGTTGGTCCTAGAAAAAAAAATACAATTAGACTATTTAAGGACTGCAACTTTTATGTTTTTTATTTTTTTAAATATCAAAAATATTCGTAGTATTATTTGACCTAATAGATGCGTTAGAATTCCAATAATACCTAGCAATTTGTTGATGTAGACAAAAGTAATAAATAAGCATGTTCATCACATAAAAGCCAAATTCCAACTGAACGCTTGATTACGTTGTAGGGATTATAATTATTAACAAAAACAACCAAAAAAGAGGGTGAGTCAGACCTGCGCGATAAACATATTACGTTAAGCGTGACGAATTTCTTAATTATATATTAAATAACAAATTTTGTTATTTATTATTTTATTAATAATCAAATAATGTAATTTCGATTATAGTTTCCAAAAATTACGCACCATTTTGAGTAATTAGGGTTTAAAAATTGTATTATTTTCGACGTTTTCAAAATAAAATCTTATATAAGAAACTGTTTTATCCTTATCGGTTGATATTTTTGTTGAAAATATTTAACACAAAAATTATAGATATTAAAATAAAAATTACAAAAATCTAAACAAAATTTTGACCTACGACCCCTTACAAAAACGAACTGATCTTTAAAAAAGAACAAGTTTCATCTCAATTTAAAATCAATGAACTATATATATTATATTGATATATTGATTTTAAACAACAACAAACTACACTCACAGGCAAAATAATCGATCCACACAAATTTTCGATGAATTTCAATCGCAAATAACTTTTTTATTTGATGTCGGATTTAATGGATAAATTAATGGACAATCGACATTTTAAAAAAATTACTAAAAAATAGACGTACGTTTATAATATACAGGTTTAAACAAAAAGATGTTTTTTACCATAACTTTAAGACACTCTTTAGAGTGGCAAAACCGTATATTGTTCTAAATTAAGTTTTATTTATCAAGTCACATCTATTCTTAACAGTTTTGTTTTTGGTTCACCTCGATATATTTATTTTTGTGGATTTTTTTAAAAAACATTGCAATTTCCAATATTTTTCTGTATGAAGAACTAAGGTTGCTATGGTCCATCCATATGCTATGGAGAATGACAGTGACAGTTTTGTTGAATCATCCCATACTTGGACATGTCATACACGGCTTTCAAAAGCTATCAAATTGTTTTTTGCAAATTAATGTTTAAATTTTGAGGTGTCTTCTTACTTTAAAAAATGGATATGTCCCCGACTGATGTTGTCAGAGCCATTAATTTAATCCAGGATGGACGGTCACAGTATTACGTGGCAAGTGTTTTAAACGTCACAAGAAGTAAAGTACAAAGGGCAACATCAGTCGGAGACATTTTTAAAAGTGAGAAGACACCTCAAAATTAACACATTAATTTACACAAAACAATTTGATAGCTTTTGAAAGATGTATATGACATGTCCAAGTATGGGATGATTCAACAAAACTGTCACTGTCATCCTCCATAGGCTATGGATGGACCATAGCAACCTTAGTTCTACATACAGAAAAATATTGGAAATTGCAATGTTTTTTTAAAAATCCATATTTTCCACAAAAACAAATATATCGAGGTGAACCAAAAACAAAACTGTTAAGAATAGATGTGACTTGATAAATAAAACTTAATTTAGAACAATATACGGTTTTGCCACTCTACAGAGTGTCTTAAACTTATGGTAAAAAACATATTTTTGTTTAAACCTGTATATTATAAACGTACGTGTATTTTTTAGTAATTTTTTAAAATGTGATTCTCCATTAATTTATCTACAATATTCTTTAATATTCGTTTAAATCCGACATCAAATAAAAAAGTTATTTGCGATTGAAATTCATCGAAAATTTGTGTGGATCGATTATTTTGCCTGTGAGTGTAGTTCCAAAACTCCAAGCTAAAACAGGAAATGGTTTTACTTCAGGGCTGGATGCTCCCGTGTACGAGTTTTGGTTCGTCCCGCGCATGTCACTTGATGAGTAGTTGCCGTGAGAATACACGAATAATAGTAATATTATCAAAGAAAATAGAGAAATATCTAGACAGTGCGTTTTTATTAAACTTAATATTGAAGAAAGTGTTATATATGCATAATATATGCTTTCAGTCCTTGATAACATTTAGGGCTGTAGTTTTGCGTTGGTGTTTTAAATTAAACTTATAGTCACTGCCCAGAAAATGTTTATAGGAAACAGAAGCGATCTTAACGTTAATATTTTCTATTATTTTTGTGGCATTTAAACACTGTTTCCACAAATCAAACTTTTTCGGAAATCGATGAAATTTAATGTTTTTATTTAATGGGTTTTTCTTGGACTGGTTGTCCGAATTGCATCCAAATATGCCACACCGCATTTTAATAAATGCAAATGGCACTACACAATGTAAAACACAAACAAAACAAGTTAACGCAACACAAAAACAATAATAAACAAACAGAACAGGTTAACACAACGCAATAACAATAATTTGAACACTGAAAAGTAATTAGAACCTTACCGAACACCAAAACAACAAGTTAAACAAAAAATAAAGCAAGTTAACATCCAAAAGCATCGCAAAAACAAGAATTTTAGCAGCAGATAATTAAAAAGCACGTTAAAGATTTAAAAACACTCATCAAGTGACGTATTTAAGCCCCGCCCAACATGCGCACCATCCTATCTTAAGTTTTTTTTTTTCGGTGCTCAAGCAAAATATTAATCTACCTATAGAAAAAAAAAATTTCACCAAGGTAGAGCCCTTAATATCAATTTTAAGTACTTGCAGTTTAAATTTAAAGTTTTCCCATTTAAAATGCATGTAAAAAAAATGTTTTTTTTTTCAAATTTCTAATGCTCGCCCGCTTTTTACAAAATTGTGAATCGATTTTATGGACCTTATAGGGAATTTCACGCTCTTCAAAATTGTTTTTGTGTTTTTTTGTGTAACTCGTAGTGGTTCGCCAGTAGGACTCATCAAAGTTCAATTTTTTGAACGAACATTTTTTTTGCATTTTTTTTTAACAATTCGCAAAAAATAGTGGAAAAAAAAGAGCTGAATCGTAAAAAATAGTCTTTTAACAAATATTTGATGAATTTACGGCCATTTTTATATCTTAAAACGTAAGTAATTGATAAATATTAACCAATTATGCTATTTAAATTAAACTTTCTTATTTACTATCGATATAATTCTCTACAACAATAACGTAACTAACGTGCCCTTAACATGTATACAGGTACAATTTATTATTATATTATTGTTGTGTCGCCAATTTTAAATTAAGCGGCACGGCAGTGATGACGTTTTTTATCTATTACGTCACTAGCGTGCCCGTAAAAAATAAATTGCAGGCACTCTAACGTGCACCTAGTCACTTCGTACTTTGTTCTCGGACAATAAAAACAATTTACTTTTTCGTTAATTTAAGAATTGAATTGAATAATGTTGAAAAATTGCAGAATCTAAGTTGCAATTGTATATTTGTTGTTTTTTTATAAATTAATGTGTTTTTAAGTCAAAAATCATAATAACTCTGGAAAAGTTATTGTTGTAGAGAATTATATCGATAGTAAATAAGAAAGTTTAATTTAAATAGCATAATTGGTTAATATTTATCAATTACTTACGTTTTAAGAAAAAAAAAATGGCCGTAAATTCATCAAATATTTGTTAAAAGACTATTTTTTACGATTCAGCTCTTTTTTTCACTATTTTTTGCGAATTGTTAAAAAAATGTTCATTCAAAAAATTGAACTTTGATGACTCCTACTGGCGAACCACTACGAGTTACACAAAAAAACACAAAGACAATTTTGAAGAGCGTGAAGTTCCCTATAAGGTCCATAAAACCGATTCACAATATTGTAAAGAGCGGGCGAGCATTAGAAATTTGAAAAAAAAAACATTTTTTTTACATGCATTTTAAATGGGAAAACTTTAAATTTAAACTGTAAGTACTTAAAATTGATATTAAGAGCTCTACCTTGGTGAAATTTTTTTTTTCTATAGGTAGATCAATATTTTGCTTGAGCGCCGAGAAAAAAAAAATGTTTTTTGCGGAAATGAATCACCCTAGTATGTATCTTGGTTTTGCTTAGGGCCGCGATAGACGGAGCCGAATGCGTGGGCATGAAGTACCTGGAGTCGGCGCGCGACAAGGTGCTGATGGGACCCGAGCGTAAGTCGCGCATCCCCGACGAGGAGGCGAACACGATCACGGCCTACCACGAGGGCGGGCACGCGATCGTCGCCTACTACACGAAAGACAGCCATCCGCTGCACAAGGTGACCATCATACCGAGAGGGCCTAGTCTCGGGCACACCGCCTACATCCCGGAGAAGGAGCGCTACCACGTGACCAAGTCGCAGCTGCTCGCCATGATGGACACGATGATGGGCGGAAGGGCTGCCGAGGAGCTGGTCTTCGGCCCCGAGAAAATCACTTCCGGTAAGTGATTTGTTCACAAAACTGCACTTTATATAATATATACACTATATATAATATATATTTATACCTACTCTACTTTGGTACACAAATTTTACTTATTCCATAATTACCTCTCAAGAAGTTACCCAGTTTTAGAAAATAAAAGTTTTACTTGATTTCAAACCCCCAGAATATTCGACACATCATTTTTATTGTCTAATTTCCAATTTTGATTTTTCGAAAATTTTGGACGGAATTTTTTTGATAAAAATTATTTTTTGTCAGTAGAAATCCCTCAAGAATTCTTCATAATTTTTACTTATGAAAAAGTATAAAAAAATCACAAAACGGTTTTAAAAAAAATTTAATAGAAACGATTACTTTTGAGTAGAGAGAACTCCCATTCGACAAAAATTCCCGGAAACTTTCCATAAAAAACATTCCGAAAGTTTAAAAAAATTTATTGCGGAAATCAGTTTTTTGTGCTAGGAGGATTGCAAAAATATATAACACATTAACTTTTTGCCAAATTTTATTCAGAAAAAAATTAAAAAATGTTTATATGGATGTATACCTAAGCTGAAACTTAAACTTAAACTATCACTACTATCACTATCACAAACTATCACCATCACTATATTACATAACAAAATATAAATATTGAAAAGTAAAAGATACTAAAAATATTATTGCAGTTCTGACCAATAAAATATGAAGAAAAAAACTACAGACAAAATAACATTTTTTACTAACATTACCCATAAAAACAATTTCAAAAGCAAAAAACACAAATTAGGATTTTTTTAAAACCAAACAAAAATAAAAGTGTTATTCCCCTAATTTAAATTCGTAAAAATTGTAACAAAAACTGAATCTACAACAATGTCATTAGTAACATTCAATGTACTGCATTGAGGATGGTCTTTTTTGCACTATTTTGTAATAATTCCAAATATAAGATTTTTCTCTTGGCATCATACTGTACCTATAAATAAACAAAAACTTTGGAATTATTTTAACTTTGTTTATTGTTTTTATTTTGTTTACCTTTTATGCAAAGTTTTTTTTGCAAACGATTCAACACAAATTAACTTCTTATTCAGTTTATTGGCCTTAACTTCGCAAATCAGCTGTTATTTACATACTAAATCTGGGAAAGTTTCCAGTAACTTTATAAGAAACTTTTAAAATTAAAATAAATTTCCAACAGGAAACTTTACAAAATGAAAAATTTCCTTCAAATGGAAACTTTTTGATTCCCATCTTTACTTTTGAGAAATGACAAATGAATTATTTTAACTTTGTTTATTGTTTTTATTTTGTTTACCTTTTATGCAAAGTTTTTTTTGCAAACGATTCAACACAAATTAACTTCTTATTCAGTTTATTGGCCTTAACTTCGCAAATCAGCTGTTATTTACATACTAAATCTGGGAAAGTTTCCAGTAACTTTATAAGAAACTTTTAAAATTAAAATAAATTTCCAACAGGAAACTTTACAAAATGAAAAATTTCCTTCAAATGGAAACTTTTTGATTCCCATCTTTACTTTTGAGAAATGACAAATGAACCATGAAACCGACCAAAAATGGTTTTTATCAAAAAATTTCAGTCCAAAATTTTTAGAAGAATCAAAATTTCAAATTAACCTTGGTCAAAAAAAATGTGTCGCGCATTCTGAGTGTTTTATGAAGAATAAAATTTTCTTTTTTTTTTCTGGTTGTAACCTGGGGACATACTGTATATGTAATTTTTTAACTAATAGCCTACATTAAAAGAGTTGTAATTATAACAAATACTTGTGGTAAACGTGTTTTGATAAAATTGGTAATAAATACTTCAACATTAAAAAAGTTAAAACAATTTTATTCAAATGCCAAAGAGATACTTTTTAATGTGGTGGTAACTACTAGCTAGCGTTCTAAAGCATCGAAAAAAACAGTTTTTTTCCGTTTACGGGAAAAACTGATTATTTTTGTTAAATTTAAAAATACACGTTTTAATAAAGGGAGATTTTATTTTACTTAGTGAGACTATTTATAACCTTTTTTAATCCAATTTATTTACAAAAAAACGAAACAATCGTTTTTTTTAAGTATTTTTTGTAAGCCTTCAAGACACATTTTAAACGTAAAAATTAGTCAATTTTTAGACAAATTGATTTTTGCTTTTTTCCGTATTCGTAGTATCTCTTGAAATCATAATATTAAGGCGGGTTTATACAACTTCATATCATTAATTTATTTCATAATTCACAATTTAGTGCATAAGCATAAAAGTTAAATCGTACTATCTGCTATAAAACAGTTTATACAACAATTTTTTCCGTAACTCACAATTTAGTGAATTGAATAACCTTGAAAGTTTATAAAATTTATACAACAATTGATAATTTAGTGGACAATTTATTATTATTTATTTTTTATGAAATAAATTACGAGTTATAAATAAGATTGAACAGCGCCAACAATAATTATTTTTCTCTTTCCATTTTTTAAGGTTATAAATTATAATTAATTATAATTACTTATAATTAATAATTATTGTTTTGTGTTTGTGCCTTAAAAAACACTACAAAGTTTCTACAAACCATGAGTTTTGAGGGATTTTGTGGGATTTGTAACTTTTAATTATCAATATTGTAATTTAAAAAAATAAAAAATATATTAAATTAATGAATTCTAATTTTAAAGTTATGTATTATGTATTAAATAGTTCATTAAATTAAGAATTGTGTTATGAAATAAATTGTTCACTAAATTATCAAATATTTTATGAACCCAGCTTTAGTATCTGTAGTGCGAATAATACAAGAATAAATGCAAAATTCAATTTTTCTGAAAATTCGGAAAATTAGTAAAATTCTCCAATTCGTACTACGGGAAAAAATGCAAAAGTCATTTTTTTATATTTTCCCAATTTGTCCTTTTTTACCTACCATAGACATCTTTCCTTGTCTAAGGTACAGGCTGCACAAAGTTTTTTTCTTTTATGTATGGGTATTTTTTTCATTTGAAAAGCTACAAGGTCGGTTATATTAGAGAAAAGTTGCGTAATAACAAGTCTATTAAAACTGCATTTAAAAAGTGGAAACAAAATCAAAAGTTCTCAAATAAATAAAAAAAATCTTTTTTATGCCTTGAAATTTAAAAAAAAAAGTAAGTTTCACATGTATCCAATTTGTGATTTTTTTTCGCCTACTTGATTTTGAGGTACCACCACCATTGAAATTTAACAAGGTTAGATAGAAAAAAATCAAGGAATTCTACAATGTATCAAACTAAATAAGTTATGGCGGTTATAAAAACAAAATATGCTGATGGTAACTCAAAATTTAGTTGCAAGAAAATTCAATAAAAATGTAAAACATGTAAAACTTACTTTTTTTCAAAATTTCCAGTAATAACGATTTTTGGTTTTGTTCAAATATTTCTAGAACTGCTGCCAATTAATACATTCTAAACGACCTTGTAGCTCTTTAAATAAAAAAATATATTTAGCATAACAAACAAAATTGCTTAATTTAGGTGCAAGTTCCGATTTGAAACAAGCAACTTCGATTGCCACCCAAATGGTCAAAGATTGGGGCATGTCCGAAAAAATTGGTCTTCGAACAATGGTTGAAAATTCCAAACCCTTTGCAGGAGAAACATTGGGGCCTTCCACAAACGAACTGGTAACCCATTGTGGAAACAACATTAAATAAATTTTCTTTATTATATATTTTTTAGATTGATAATGAAATCCGAAGAATCTTGTCTGAAAGCTATGATAGAGCCAGGCAAATACTAAAAGCGCACGCTAAAGAACACAAGGCTCTTGCCGAAGCCTTATTGAAATACGAAACCTTAGATGCAGAAGATATTAAGGCTATAATGGCAGAAAAAACTGTCACAGAAAAGTCGTAATATACAATTAGTTGACAAAATTTAATGATATTCCAATTTTGTTGTTGTTTTTATTTAGTTAGTTTTTCTAATAGTTAAAGATCTTTTTATTATTTTTGATTGTATAACACCAATATTGCTCTATTTGACAGTAGTTTTAATGGAACCTTTAGTCAAGTCTTTTTTGTAAATATCTAAAAATACACCACTGTAACCAGGCCTTTGTTGACTTAATAATGAATATATTAACATTACAGGTTATTCGCAGTTTTATTTATTTGTTTGTAAATTACAGTGGGAATTGTTGAAACATTAATAAAGAATATATTATTTATGTTTTGCTTTATTTGGAGTGTTCAGGTAAAAATAATGTTTAGCTCACAGCTGTGAGTATACAATTGAGCAAAGCACAAAATGACAATTCTCAGCCGAATCGCGTACATTTTATCTTTAAGGCACAATTTAATTTGTTAAACGTAGGTACAATAATAATTACTTAAAGTAGAAAGTAAGGTTTTATTGGTCCAAATGGATTTTTAATAGCTTTTAAAGGAACTTCACCCAATTGGTCTAAATTATATTTACAGCCTAGAGAGTTTGAGTTAGTCAGTAATTTATTTTAATTTTGAAAGTTTCTTTTAAAGTTAGCAGAAACTTTTCTAGGAAATTTTTCCTGATTTTATTTAAATGTCAATTGGTTAATAGCTGCAGCTGTTTAACAATTGACAGATTGAAAAACAAGGAAAATCTTTATTTGCAAAGTTAAGGACAAGAAACTGAAAAATCTTATATTTGGAATTATTACAAAATAGTGAGAAAAAAGACCATGCTCAAGTTACAATTTTTACAAGTTTAAATTACAGGAATAACACTTTTATTTTTGTTTGGTTTGAAAAAAGTTCATAATTTGTGTTTATTGCTTTTGCAATTATTTTATGGGTAATGGTAGTCAAAAATATTATTACTACATGGCATTATGTATGCATTCATACACTGCCCGTCAAAATTAACGCATAAGTAAAATAATTCTAACTAAAACGCCTTTACCAATCTTTATGAAATTTTGTATAAAAATTACTTCAACTTATATCTCAGTTTACGTGTTCAAGGGTTTTTCGAAAAAATATCCTTAAAGCCCTTATTTAATAATAAAAAACGCTCGAAAAAAAACTTTTATAGGGAAATTTTTTTTTTGTAAATTAAAACTATTGTGTGAAAGACCGTATTTTTGTATACCCTAAAAATGTTGCAAAAATCAAACGAACAGTAACGAAAATACAGCGCTTCAAAGTCGTCAAAAATGACAGCATATTTTTTATTTAGGTACCTACTTAAAAAATCCCTAAAAGTTATTTTTCAAACGTTCTTTTTATTATTAAATAAAAGGGCTTTAAAAATATTTTTTCTAAAAACCCTCGAACACGTAAACTGAGATTGGTAAAGGCGTTTTAGAGTTAAAATTGTTTTACTTATTATGCGTTAATTTTGACGGGCAGTGTATAAACAATTTTTATTTTTTTCTGATATTTATATTTTTGCAATTCGACTGGCACCAAAAACTCATTTTCGCAATAAAAATAATTTTTTTAAACTTTCGATGGAAAGTTTCCGGGAATTTTCGCCAACTGGGAATTTCCCATCTCTACAAAATATTCTATAATCAATAAGTATTTTATTTACAGTATTTTGAAGAGTGATAAATAAATTAGTAGGCTGCGACAGTAAATTCAGCAGTGCCAATGTAGTAAAAATAAAACGTTGTATATTAATTAATTAACAAATTAATACTTTATTGCAAATTAAAGTATTATTACAAACTAAAAACAACGATAAAATTAAATAAGTACAAATATAAATTGTTAATTTGTTGCTATAATGGAAAAATTAAGGTTTAAAACTTTCATATTTTTATGTTTCTTCAGTTGGCAGCACGAAATTTTAAATGACAATTTAAAAAGTGCTATTAAAAATATACTTTAATAATCAATTTCTATGCCATCAACATCATCCTCTTCTGTTGCTCAAGTTTAGAAACAAATTTTTCTCGGAATCTGTGGTGTAAAATAGTCTGAAATTATTTGTAAACGTGTCTGATGCCTCACAAGATCATAGGTATATTGAATTTTGAAGACATTCTAGGGAAACTCTTAATAACTTTAAAAACATAACTATTTTTTTAAATTTTAATAACTCATAAAATCAGGTAGTTTAAACTAGACCGAAAAAAATCTTAACAAAAAACGCACCTTCAGACAGGTCCCGACTAGTACGAATTTGATAGGCGTCCGATGAGTCACACACGGTGCCGACCAATCGCAAGCCGCGTCCAGAGGTTACTCGCTTCCCTCCGTCCAATCAGCATTCGGAGCGCTCAATTCGCATCCGTTTGTCCGCAGACTTGTTAAAACGATCGGCAAGATCAGCAACTTTAACGAAATGTGCTTCGAATCTGTTGTTGAAGACTAAAAAGACAGGCTTCGACCTGAAGATTTCGAAAATGGCTCCCCACTCGTCGTGTTCGTTCAGTTATCGTGCAGTTACTTTTAAACTTTCCTACAGATTGCAATGGCAAAAAGAAAAAGAAGTCCCGTCAAGTTGTGCGGAAACGCGCTTCTGCGTGCCGAGATTGAATTGAGCTTTTACAGGAAAAAACTCATCATCAAAATGAAATTGTAAGTAAAAATTCCGTATTTTTATATAACTTTTCGTAGGATTTTTATAACGTCTTAGGTACACCTTTAATACGTATTATAAAGTGACCAGATTCTATAAAAAAATCGGAAAATTTTGTGTAAATTAACCTTAATCACAAAAATGACACAATCAACAATAATTAAGTTACGTCAAATTTACAATTTGCATTGTATCATTGTGTCAATTTTGTAATTAAGGTAAATTCATACAAAATGTCCCTCTATTTTTTGACACTTTAACCTATTAACAAAAAAACTTTTTCGCAAAACCCGAATAGAGAAATCTGATTTTATTAATTTATTTGCAAAAACTTTTAATTAAAAATATGATGTAATACTTAAAAAATTAAATAACTTTATAATGTAAAATACAGTTGAGGAAAAAAGATATTTAATAGTTTTCATGTCTTTGCATTGTATTTTCATAAATTAAATATACACCGAAGAAGCATTTTATATTTTTCGAACTCGCCGGCTCAATGTCGGTGCAGCTCAGTGTATACCGCGGTAAGTCCGTCCGCTGGCGGGTAGATGGCGCCAGCCAGTCAATGTTTACATCTGCGATCGGCCCCCCCGAAACGACAGGCGCCAGCGCCATTGTTGTTGAGAAAAGCTGCGACCGTAATAAAGCAAGAAAGTGTCAGTTTCCGAGTAGCCGTTTGTTTCGCGATCGTCAACTTGCTTTTCTGGAAAAAGTGACCAACCTTTCCCGAAAATATTTGCCGGTCCAATCGTGCGCTAGCGCGAGTGTTTTGTTTCAAGTTTTTAACATGCCGTTCGTGCCACAGGGTTGTCTTTTGGATAAATTCTCTTCGTCGATAAATAAAGTGCAGTGATAATTTTGGGAGTGAAGTTTGATCAGTAAAAATATCATCCAAACTGTTTAAAACGGCTTCAGATATGGTGAAAAGGTTAGTTAACAATGCTAATTTCAATTTCTCCTTAGAATGCTAAATTATTGTTCACTTTGTTAGCAACGAGCAAATAACAAAAACAAGAGTTGCAAATAACAATAAAAAATGCAAAAACTCGCCCACTGTACCTACCTGATAATAAACCAGGTAGAATTTGTTTTGGAACAAAAACTATTCCCAGTTAATTTTATTTTATCCGAATGCATTGGTACCTAATAAGACGGCCTTATCACTTTGCTATGACCAAAATAAACATGCGACTTATTTGTTTACAGCAAACTTAAAATACAAATATTTTGAATTGCATTGTTTTGTCTTTGTGTTCACAATGAAAAATGTTTTTTCAAAATTTATTGCTCTCCATTGTTTGACACAAAACAATTAGTTAACAGTTGTTTCTACCCACTAGAATGATAATAGAAACCCTGAAAAAATTTATAAAAAATTATGTACCAATTTCCCCATAGTTCCAAGTATGAGAACGACCTTTCTTGGCAATTTCCACCGTTTAAAAAGGAAAAATTTCCAAAGAACAATCCGAAAGAAAAAATGCTCGACATAAACGGCAAAGATGACACTGACCTTTAAACACACCTGTGAATGCGTTTTTATTCTGATAATCCGCAAAGAGAAAAACTAGGAATGCTTCAGCTAAAGCATGTACCTACCCACTTAATTCTTTGAAAAACAGTTTGTTTACAACTAACTATTTGAAATACATACCTGCGTAGGTAACTACAAAAGTTCTATTATTAAATCAATTAAAATTAAAAACATGTCTAAGGCACAAAGTAGGTAACTCGATTTCGGGCTTTTCTTGTTATAATAAATCATAATTGATCATTGTCTGACACAATGCATTATATGAATAATAAACTTACTGGAAAAAGTTACTAGCGCTACTTAAATGCAATTTAAAAGAAACATTATTCTAAATTTACTTAATTTATTAATACTTCTGATTCAGATATAACAATCAAGTGGCTTAAGTGCCATAAAATACATTAAATAATATATAAAAAAGTGAAAACCGCCTTTTTAATTAGAGCATTTATACCTATTAATAATAATTTTAATCCGTACGTTATTTCTAATAACTTATAATTACGTCCTCCTAATTGGAATAACCCATACATTCTAAAAACCGTCACGGAAATGGCAAGCTTAACGGTTTTACAGCATGATGTTGTTTTAAATACTTCCGGTCCATGGTTTAACATAGACAATTTTAACCATAAATAAATGATAAATTAGTGGTTATTTGGCACTGTACAGTACCGGTTTGGGATGGGCGACCGCAAAATGGAACGACAAAAATAGTTATTCGTTTTACAAGTGTTGAAAAGCGACTTTTTCATGCGAGTGTTTAAGTTGCTCGCAAGGCCGTCAGGCCGAGTGTGCATTAACACGAGCTTGAAGAAAGCTTTTCTTACAAGTAAAACACAATGTTTTTTCTACGACCCTTTTATTTTTTATTATATTCAAATACAAAACATAATAATAATAACCTAAAAACGTGTTTGACAGCTGTTAAAATTCTTTCATTTTATTCTTTTAATTTTTAAGGTATAAGTTACTTAAAATCAATAAACTTACCTTAAGAATTTATTATACAAACACAATTAATTGTGTTCTAAATTATACTTATTTAAACATTCCAAATAAAAACACCAAATGGGGTGCGCTGCTTCATTTTTTATTTTGATAAAAAAAAATTGAGGATGATCTTTTAGGTATCAAATATGAAAATCCGATGCCGTTATAATTTTTGGATTCTTTACTTTTAATCGGCACCCTTTAGAAATCTGAAATCGTGTCAATTTCTTACTCTCTTATAGTGGGCCAGAACTTTTTTCTGTGACAAATAGGTATTGAAATGATTTTAATTTTGTTTTACTGTTCAGTAAGTGTGTTTTCGATATAAATTATTATTGTCCAATTAGTTAACCTCATAAAAGAATGGTAAACCACTAAAGATTCATGATAATTTGCCAATTTTTGTGATTTTTGTCTGGCTCCTGTGCCTATTCTACTAAATCTAGAAAGATATTTTTTTTCAGGGATCAAGTACTTATATAATAGAAAACGTAACTATTATTTTAAGTTTCTAGGCTATCATTTTCATTATTAAAAAAAATTATTGAAACTTGATAGTTCTTAAAATTAGTCAATTTTGCCCTCAGAAATCATTATGTTGAGGAAAAAATATAACTTTCAGGAAATGTAGTTCCCACCTTCATCTTTCAGTCCAGTTAGTCTTGTTTTGTTATTTTTATTCCTTTAAAACATATATTAATTTTTTAATGCCCGTTTAGTAGCGATATTGTTAGTTTTATTTATAATTTAAAATTTAGATGGCTATTTGTATCTAATAAAAAATTGTGCTGCCACAATAACGTTATTGTTCTGGTAATGTGCTTTCCAAGGATGGACCTCCTCACCTTGGCCAGGCCTGAAATCAAATTGGCCATTAAGTGAATGCATTCGAAGCTCTAAATAAATTAAGAAAGAAACTCGCGACCACGGACACCGGAAGCTCTTAAGACCGTTGCGCATTCAGGTCGGCTAATTTTTGTCTTTTTATCGAAACGCTCGATAGTACAGAGAGGTCAGTAGGATGGACCGACACATAACTTGCAAATTAAACGCTTACTATAAATCATGCGAAGGAACTGGGCAAAAAATTAACGTGTGCACCTATCTAGAGCATCAAGTAAGTTAGTAGTGTACCTGGTAATCGACCGGTAGTTATTTTGTCGATATCGGAATTCGTCGAAACGCTATTAGTTTATTAAACATTCCAAAATGAATCGTAACGTTTAAATAATAAACAAACACAGGATAGTAAAAAACTCAATAAAATAATTTAATAAAAAATATTTATATACTTAGGTCAATTTAATACAACATTTGATTTTCGCGGGTAATTCAGGCCGGGAAAACTAAATTTCTTAAAAAAATTGTAGAGGGCGCATTCTGCGACACTTTGCATACGGTTAAACCAAAACAAAGTTGTTTATACGAGGTGTGTTCAGAAAATAAGGGGAATCGTTAAATTTCGCGGGTTCGAAGGGTCCGGTTAACCGGTTAACAATTGTCATAAAATTTTCTTTATTATGTTGGTATACATGCCCCCGAAGTATGATAAAAAGTTTAGCTGTTTTCATTGTTTACTTTGTCTGTGGCAGACGCTAAGGTTAGACGTGTTTTATGAGCTCGGCGATTTTTCGTTCGTTAAAAGAAATGGATCAAAGAATTTGTATCCAATTTTTCTTAAAAAATGAAATAAATTCTTTGAAATGTTAACAAAGGCCTATGTGAGTCTGCTATAAGTTAAACAAGAGCTTACAAGTGGTATAAGAGTTTCCAAGATAGCCGTGAAGACGTTGAAGATGACGAACGCCCCGAACGCACAAGCACATTAACAACCGATAAAAACATGAAAAAAGTGGAAGAAATGGTTATAAACCATCAGAGAAGTCGCTGATGATATTGGTATATCGATTGGCTCATCCCATGAAATTTTTTCGAATGTTTTGGGTATGAAACGCGTGGCAGCAAAAATGGTTCCAAAATTGTTAAATTTTAAACAACATTTTTGGCCAAAAACAATACTGTAATGATGCCCCAGCCTCCATATTCGCCAGACATGCCTCTGTCTGACTTTTTCCTATTCCCAAAAATAAAGAGAACCTTAAAGGGCCGTCGTTTTGCAAGCATAGATGACATTAAAAGCGCATCGCTGAAAGAACTAAAGGCTATCCCAAAGATAGAGTTTTAGAAGTGTTTCGAGTATTGGAAGAAGAGCTGGCACATGTGCATAACATCCAATGGGGACTATTTTGAAGGCGACAACATTAATGTAGACGAATAAATAAATATTTGTTTCAAAAAACGAAAATTCCCGATATTTTCTGAACACACCTCGTATGTGGTTGAAATGATTCGGGGCAAATACGCCTCGAATCTCTCAGTTGTCCTTAATTTTTAACCAAAATAGCGTGCATGACGTAGCTTTGCATAATAATAGTTCCACCTAAATTAATTTCACATGAAACATTAATTACCCAGAAATTTAAAATTTGAATTATTGTCTCATGCATTGCGAAAATATTAATTAAATAAATAAACAATGTTTTTTTATGAATTAGGATTATTTAGAAACAATATAGATGTTATGTCATATTAAAAATATTTTTTCTGTTCCCACCTTTAAAACGCCCATTATCGTACATGTTTCCTTGACCCTAAGTGACCTTTTAAATAAATAAACATTTTCTTTACTTTCACTGTGAAAAACTGTTGTTTAATCCATTTTCAAGGGATACAATTTGATTTATTATCTATGTTTATAAGTTATAAATTATAACACATACAAATTTGACATTTGACGGTAACAAAGATTCCCCTATTCTTTTATAGATGGCGCTCTATACTAATACTTAATTTAAATCATTTTTAGACAAAAATAATTATTTGTCGTAGAAAAAGTATAGTATGCAAACTTGATACATAATTGCATTTTTAACTAAGAATTTTAACAACTCAACTTGACAATCGTTCAATGTAACCTACCTACACTAATTAAACATCACCACAATTACATTATAATTACATTTATTACTAGTTTAGTTTGTTTTAATCAATGCAACCAATTTTGGTTCCTTATTTACCAACCAAACCCCTAAATTTGCAACGTTTCCGCAGTCCAGATAAAAAAACGAACTTTACCTACAGTTCATTTTTTTTTATCTGGACTCGTGTTTTTTTGTTAGGTTGGTGGCTTATGCCAGTTCGAATTAGTATTTTTAGTATTTAAAAATGCTAAAGAATTTAATTAAATACTTTGACACTGTTAAATTGACAATATTATTTATTTTTGATAATTTACTTGTCAATTATAAATAAAAAGATAATTATGCCAAAAATAATAGCAACGAATTGGAATGTAAAAGCCCTTTTGAGGGCAAAACTTCATTTTGATGAAATTATGCCAA